CTCGAAGGTGCTTAGTATCTTGAACTGTTCCTTTATTCTCTCACATTTTAATGAATCTGAATATAGATGCTGTCAACTTTCTCCGTTTAAAGAAATTCTTGTAATCAATGCCCTTCTGTATCTATTGGCACAGTTTTCATCTTTTTCTTGTCTCTGTCAATTTCACTGACATCCGCTTTAGGAACAGACTTACAGTTTTAATTTAATCAATACTAAGTGCGTCACTATGGCTACATCATTATGCATGCCTAGAATATGCATGTTAATATATATATCCTTCACCGCCAGATGTCACAACCTCCTTAAAATGGTCAGAGTTGCCTGGTGAAAAATTTAATTTCAATTTAAGAAATCTGTTAACATGCTTATTTTCAGGAATAAGAATTGGATGATATATATTTTTGAAATTTCACCTGATATTGAAACTGTATTCCGGTGAAAGTACACCAAACAAATCATTGAGAAGATGATGATGGACCCTTCTCCCAGTACTATGACCATTATATTGAATGCAGCTATAATACTATAATAATACAAGTTTATATAGCGCCTAGTATCCATAGCAGTGATGCTCAATGACGCTTAGTTCCACAGATAGGCTTGATGGAACAGGTAAGATTTGAGTTTGGTTTTGAACATTTGGTGCATAACAGATGTCATTTGGTAATTGATTCCATAAAGATGGCGAGGAATGGGCGAATGACCGGTCACCATAATTATTGAGATGAGTCCGAGGTACGACAAGTGTATGTTTCTTACTTGAGCGAAGGGTTCTCTGGTTTTGACTTTTGTGAATAAGGTCCGATATGTAGGGTGGTGTCAAACCATGCAGTGACTTGTACGTTTGTAGTAAAATTTTGAAGTGTATCCTATAGTGAACTGGCAGCCAATGTAATTTACGATCAAATGTTTTAGTACGTGTAATTAGACGGGCAGCACAGTTTTGAGCCCTCTGAAGCAGGTGTATCTGTGACTTTGGTAAGCCATAGAGTAAGGCATTGCCGTAATTCAGTTTAGCGGTTATAATAGAGTGAATGAGTTTAAGACAAGTATGCTCAGATAGATGTTGTCGAATGAGTCCTATGCATCTGATATGCATGTATATGCTCTGGCATGTACTGATGATGTTGCGAGCTGCTTTAACCGGTTTAACGAGTGTTGATCCAATGTTGATACCATGCAAGGGGTTTGGAGATTAGCAATATCTCTGTTTTACCATCATTTAGCTGTAGTTTCTTGTTAACCGTCCAAGCATTGATGTTAGATAGGCAATTTCCAATTTGGGATGTGGTAGCTGAAATGTTATCCTCAGTGAAAGAACGGTAAAGTTAATTGTCATCAGAGTATTGGTGAAAATGAAGATTGTGGTGACGAATAATTTGACCAAGTGATGAGATGTAAATTGAGAATAACAGGGGACCGTGATCCTTGGGGAACTCCATAATGAAGCGTTGTTTCTTTAGATGAATGACCATTAATGACAATTGACTGATGTCTGTTCGTGAGATATGAAGATAGGCATTGCCAGGTGAGATCACATATGCCCAAGAAGGATGTCACGGTCGATCGTGTCAAAGGCAGCAGACAGGTCTAGGAGGACAAGGGTAACATATTGTCCTGAATCAATACACATTGATATGTCATTGTGGACCTTGATGAGTGCTGTCTCGTTGCTGTAAAATTTCCTGTCTGCAGACTGGAGAGGTTCCAGAAGAGAGTTCCCAGCGAGGTAGTCATTTAGTCTCCTAGCTGCTTCTGGTTATAACCGCTTCATATTCCGAGTTTGTTTTGTCTCTCTTCCATGCATGCCTGGGTCAACATTGCCATCTCCTCTGCTTAGCAGTAGTCCTAATTTGCTCTCAATTTAGCAACAATGATAATTTCTGATCATGGTGTACTTATTCTTAATGTTATAATTGGCAATGCCATCTCATGTTTTAGGTGACTGGCACAAAACTTCCTCATGTAACTGGATAAAAAAATATATGATGGAAGGACTGAACATTTTCTGTAGAACACGTTCTACTTCGTTTATTGTGGACTTTTTACCTCTCTTAAAGCAGCTAAAGCAAAACATGACTTTCCTTGGCCTTTTTCAGACATTTAGCCACTGTCATCTCTTCTATCTTGGTAAATGATCTGTCCAATGGTCATTGAATTCACAGCACAACATTCCCTTCGCGAGTCTTCATGTGCATCGTATTGTGAAACCAGATTAAAGATGACCGCCCACTGTCATTGTTTCAGGGTTTCTATAGTGTGTGTCATTGTCAAAAAGTCCGTTCAGTGCTTATATAAACTGATTCTCCAAAGGGACACTCGGCACTTTTGGGTTTTTTGGGTTCTTTAGTAAACCAAATAAAGAACTAAATAGCATCCACAGTCAATTCACACTCTCACGACACCAGTGATAGAGTATATAGAACAATACAACGTAATTATAACTCTCCATACTTATCAATAAATAAATAATCAAACTTTGGTGAACAAGATAATTCAATACTATTAATGACAACAAATATATTAATATGCTCGAGCAATTATAGAAATCATTTACTACAATAAATAAAAAATATGCTGGTGCAAAAAATGAATAAGGCGGTCGTTGGAAGTAAATTCTCCTACCTATACACAAGTTCCGTATGGTTATTATGCATACAGTTACTCACAATGACATGGACGAAGCATGTGGTCGCGAATTCCATTGGTGAAGACACAAGCAATCCACAAGGAAAATATCCGACAATATAATTACGGTCCAGTTTTTACTTTGTAACCGCCCTCCTTGTGTAGTGACTTTCAGGTACCGTGCTGGTTCAATTCATACTCAGGACAGCTTGCTAGCTCAGTTTCATGTCAGTTGGAGCACATGGCTGGAAACATGAAGAACAGCTCACAAGGAATTCACTACATCGCGACAAATAAAGGAATACACTACATTTAAATTTCCCGGCACATTTATAGCTGGACATTCCATTCTAGTCTCAGGGGTGCAACTATTAGAATGATGACCAGTTTCCCATTCGATGCAGTCCAGTGAGGTAGTAAATAAACCAATGTAGTGCTGTTCGAAATTACAATGTCTGATTTGATTTGTCTGTGAGTGAACAAATGCTATTCAGAGTTGCATTTTATTGACTTCCCCTCAGTTTACCCTACACTTGACCGCCATAATGGGAAACATATTCGAGACTCCCTAGCTAGACCACATTGTTTGGAGTTAAGCATGTGCAAACCCATTAAATTAACATTAAATCACATGAATATACAGACACTCTGTAACAGTCATCATTATTAACATAGTTAACGAATAGTAATCACTTGATTGCTTGCTTAAAGGTGGGCATTTCTGGATATGAGTGCATACGCGAGTATACATCCAGTGAGATATTACTTTAACCTGTTGACTGTGCCAACAATCGTTGAAAGATGGAAATAAAGAAAAAATATAGTTAATTGTGTGTTACATCGGAAGATTGTAGGTCGGCTTTCATTACACGCTGTGCTTATGCTGGTGAGGTTCTTTTCTGATTCCAGTAAGGATGTGATTCGACATTGTGTGAATCATTCAAGTTTGTAATTTGCCCGTATATGCGCACTTGTCACATGTGTTAAATAAATAAACAATAAATACCCACAGGTAGAATGAACAATCACAAAGTCCTGTTAACGAACATGTAGAAATAATAAATCCTATTTTTCCACATTTACTGTCGTCGAAATCAAGTTTCCTGGGCCCGATTATATATGCAAGTGTGCTTTTCTATTGCGTTCATGATCAGATGTCAAATATTAGCATTATTTAAATACCAGGCCGGGTATTGTATATTAACACAAACGTTTATGCCATCACATAAATGGCTGAAGACATTTTCACGCTTTTGTTCTCACATAGAGAAGGATGTTACACTGACCGAGTTTTGCTGTGCTAAGAGGGAATGACAAAGTTTGGGTTCAAACTCAAATCTCACACAATAAACGATTTTACAGACACGCTGCTCATTGTGGCTTTTGGTCACTTTCATTTTATTTTTGGTATGCAAATGGTATGAGAACAAAAACGCATAATCCGAGATTTTTATGTTCATGCACATTCACATATTGAGTAACATTTCGTAAATATTCAGGAGATTTATAAGACACATTCTATTCGAAAATAGAAGCATGGGTATATTACCCATTCTGAATATAACATAAGGTTTGTACGCAACACTTATGACAAGTATTGAAACGCTCTCCCGTTTTCTCTCATAGAAAGTAGTATGGTATCTGTGGAGAAAGAAACTAAATGCCAGAAATACTAACAAACCTACAGGATACAGTTGCAATACTGAAAACAAGTATGCCAAGTGATGCAAGCATCTTGGATATATGTAAGCAGACAGTTCCACAGCTTTGCCCCACAAAACACTTCAGTACAGGCGTTGTGGAGTGGTTTTTTCCCTGTTATTATCAGCGCTGATACATATACACGTGTGATATTAAGACGTATGATATTAAGGCATGTGAAATAATATGTTCAGTGTTACAAAATCAAATCTACTGTTTAATATCTATCATGGGTATCAGATTACTAAAAAAATACGGTAATTATGCACCGACTAATTAGCTCAACTTGATTCTAAAACTAAATTAAAACTTAAAAGTAATGTGAATTAAGTAATGTCTGCTTTTGCTATCAAAATTTAGTTTCCTCCAAATTATTATAATGGTGATGCCATGGAGAAATCGGATTATGGGTGGAATATAATATACGATTTACTGCCAATTAGTTATGTTAAACATTAATGAAGGAAGGTGGAAGTGCGCTGGCAGCAACAGGCAAGTACACAGCGCTTGGGATATCTTATCTACAGTGTTTATAATACCATACTCTTGTCATCGACCGCTGAAACATACAATATATGATGGCAAATGAAATACAAGTATTGTTTTTAACCGGGATGCGATTTTTGTTAAGTACAATATTGTGTATATACAAGTAGGAACACGTTTTTCTGTTTCAATAATTGTAGTTTATTTATGGTCACGTATACAATATTAAAACTAAACAAATTACATTGTTTTTTTTTTAAACGGAATATCAATTCCTGGCTTTAATTACTCGTCAATACCGATACATGTTACTGGTTTCCCTGCAATTAAAACAAATAATATGTAAATGGAACGCACCACAGACAACTATCAGCTACATAATCTATATTACCAAATACAACAACACATAATAAGACTCACCGTGTTTACGCTCAATCATTGAACACATTTTATAATATTTGCCGTTTTCTCTGATCCTCTTAAATGCGTCATTCCACCATTTGCGTACAGGGCTTCCCTTGCGCAGAAGCATAATTTGTTCACTGCTACTCCCTTGGACTCCTGTGCACTCCAAGCCAGGTCCGACGGCTTTGACTTGGTCCTCTATTTCGTTCACAGCAGTATACGCAACAAATATGGCATCAACCTATTAAATATGCGAAAGAATTAGAACGAATAACGAGCATAAGTAAATTTACATCTTGCACTTACTCTATATATTACGATGTAAAACTATCTAAACTGTCAAATGTATCCGGACTTGTTGGCATGTGCCAGCCACCAAATACCAATCAAATGGTCAACATCTGTCGAAGGACACTGATCGATGCCTTGTAGCTCGAATTGTCAGTATTAACCACGCCAAGTAGTTAAGTAAAGTATTTCGCTATAACAATTAAATGGGGCAATACTGTCCTAAAAACTGTTCATATGTACTAATTTACATATATGTGTATAATTATAAGTTATATGTTCGAGACGTTAGTATATTCCAGCAATTATGATAATGCTTGAATTGAATATTGAAAGAAAATAGGACAACCAAACTCATGGACCAAGTACAGGTTTAGATTCAGGTATTAATTGGATGAGACATATTATTTTTTGCAGACATATAAATAGATAAACAATTATTCACCGTGCTTTTATAAGCAGCCTGTTAATATAAGTACAACACAGATAATAAGAACAAGTGCACACACCTCTTGTTTCTTGAGCATGTCCAGTAACGTGTAAATATCTGCTACATATATTTTATGACTTGGCTCCAATTGTTCCATATTTTTGGTTCGACCATCACGAACAATGCAGGCTTCATCAGTAGACCAGCCACTTAGGAAACCTAGATTCAACATTCCATGCAGATAAAATAAATACCCCCTATTTATGTTTTGTGAATTTTCATTATTAGATACGCTGCATTGGGTTGACCTGCACAATTTTTACTTTGGGCTTATGCAATAAACCATATTATTTGGATTACAATATTTTTCGATTCATTACTCCTACTATGCCCTGATTATTCATGAAATACAGATTGACTGAGAAATAATTACTGTTTAATACCTATTCTTTTTCCACTGACGTCACTTGGATCAAAGTCTCCCTCGCTATCAATCAAGACATAGAATTCACTTATAACATTCAGTTTGGAAAACGGGTCAGTGAAATCAAAAAGTGGGATCCTTGGTGTAGTTTTGTAGTAAACAAAACAACCATCGTACCAGTTGCCCAATAGACCTGTGAGCAGGAGCAGAAGACTAAATTAACATGAAGGGTAATATCTTTATCACGCAAAAGTAGAATAATATTATTCGCACCGATGATAGAATGATTATTCGACATAACAAACATGAATTCCTATGTTTATTTTTCTGTGAACCAACAAAAAGCAGGAGAAGCTATGTTCGTTTACAGCGTGTTTTTTTTCAATGTTGGTCTTGTCAAATAATGATATAATATCATACGCGAGTAAATTTATGTAATCCATTCAAAATGAATTATACCTTGACCCGCCTTTGGACGTCCACTACCGCTCTGCGTGTAACAGTTATTGTAGTCATCGTACATGATTGCACACTCCTTGCCAGCTTCTTTGCACACTACGAATAGTCAACAATGTGGAATTATTTAGTTTAAATGGTGAAATATTTAAGATGTCAAAGCTATATGTTTTCAAATAATAATATTTTTTTAATCTGCTATTTTTTTTAAATATTATTGATTAGTTTAATTTCATCATGATATTACCTCTTTTATTCGGAAAAAAAAAACAATACTTCACCCAATACTTCCTGCGTTACTACCTTATCTGAACACTACACTCAAAAATGAATTTTAATATGGTTTGGAAAATGAATACTTCGAGGTGTATTATGAGTATACGACTATAATGAATATACAAATGGATATCTCTATTTGTTGTAGTAAAACTATGTTTATAATAGTAATTATTCAACCAGTACCTTCATTCATTAGATCAACCAGAAATCCCTGGATGTTTCCTTCTTCATCTCTGCGTGGATAAAATATTTTAAGTGGGACAATAACTGTTTTGAAATAAGACATCTTTTTCACGCTGTTTAATATGTGCATTTACTTTCGACTACCCAGTACCTACAGCAACTTTGCATACAACATGTTAACATACTTCAACTTACGTATACTCATATTCTCCTTCCGGTGTGAGACTTGTTGAGAACAGCCATGTTCTGTTATATTCAGGTTTGGCTACAGTTGGAACTTGCTTAACAGGCTGGTAATAGAAATCTGACTGAGAAAGGAAAACAAATATATTCATAAATGACATTGACAATTATATATAGCTAGAATTATCTTAATCGGTGTCTAACTGCTTATCATAACATAGTTATTTACCACTGTGCAGTATTTGAAACACTATTTGGCCTCAACTGCTGACATGACACTGTCAACGTGTGTAATACATGCACACAAAATTGTATTTTGTTACTTTTGTGGATAGAAAAAGTATCGAAAAAAATATCCAGTGTCTAAAATCTGCCTGTGATTCATTTGACATATTTAATTACTTTATAAACATGCAGCTCATTATATTGAACTTTATGCATCTTCAATAAATTCTGACTCGTTATACAGGGCAACATAATTAATTTTGGGAAAGCAGCTATAAGATACGATTCTTCATAGCATACATACCAGTATGTCAGGTACATATTCCGTAAAGGCACCAGAAACTGTGAACCAAGAAATAAAAAAGTGTCAATGGTTGATAAATGTTTCATTTTAGGGTCTGAAATAAAAGGGAGGTCAATTTACGGGTCGAATACACACTATGCAAATAACGGAGAGTGGCCTATGTCTGTCTGCCATTCATTTAAGACTTCCAGATTGAAGCAGTCATTCTAAAGATTTGTCATTCAATAGACATTGTCTCCTTTTTTTAAAAATTATTTTGTGAAAAGTGGTTATTTCGTCTGTCACCAAGAATAATGTCACATTTGCATAACAGTTGGCAATCTTGCCGAGTGATTTAAAATATGACAATCAAAAATAGTGTGAAGTATATGATGGTTGTTAAGCGGCATAGGAACAGAGAGTTAAAATTTTCTAAAAGTGTCTAAGTAGCTACTATAACAACGTATACAGTATGTGTAAGATATAGCACGACTACTGAGGCGATAGCCATAATATCGACCATAATATCGATCGATATTATGACTATCGCCTCGGTAGTCGTGCTATATCTAACGTAAAGATTGTATAACGGGGCGATTGTATAATGAAATAACCCCAAATCGATTGTATTCTCATTTCAGGTCGATATCAGAACAAATGGTTTCACTCTATTGTTCACAATTTCCATAGAATCGTTATATAGATCTGGGACAACTAATTCAGATTTCAACCAATCAGATTGATTGAAATATAACCCAGGGGATTCTAAAAGTGATGTGATTCGCCAAACAGGCTATCGAGGGGCATAAATAAGGAGCCCAAATCGCTTGTTATCTATTTTTGAGTTACCCTGTAGTTTCAGACGTCAGTGAGGACGAGTTGATCGAGGCTACCCAGTGTGCCGATTATCTGAATGAACTCGCCTTGAAAAAACGTTGATTTGCAAGAGTTGCATTTTCCTAAGGTGCGTGATATCGTGCTCAATGGCTGTAATTAATAATAACGACCATCGTTTATTGTTTTATGAAAGATATATAAAAAAAATGAATTTATTTATATTGTTTCAGGGACGTCCACGTACACGTTTTGCTGACCCTATGACCGATTCGACAAATCGAACAGTTGCTAAAGATGCAATTCCTATGAATACACAGCGACGCAACATGTGGGCACTTCGTGCATTCAACGAATGGACCATGCATGGTCCGCAATAACACGCGTATGGAACTCAATTCTGAAGAATGTAATGGATATAAAAGATGTGGCTTATTGATTGACTAAACTATTTTAGAGGTTAGGAAGGTAGACCGAAATTTCTACCCTCCCAAGACATTACTCCAGCGGGGTATGGGATTACAAAGTTACATGTTCTATGAACGTCGAATTTGAAGGTTTCCGGCAAGTGTTAGATTCTGAAATAAAACGTACAGGACTGGGAACTGACATTGAACAAGCGGAAACAATTTCGAGAAGGCAAAATAGATGCCCTATAGAAAATGAAATAGCTTGGCGACTATTCGCTTCGTGTACTACTACGAACCATATTATACAATATTTTTAAATGGAACAAACTTTGCCTTGAGAAGTGGTATGGAGCATCGTTCCTTCAACAATCCTCAAATGACATTGTTTGAACCACCTGGTGAAGCGGCGTATTTAAAGTATATAGAAGATGTTCCTAAAACTAACCAAGGTGGGCTCAAACATCGTGGGATTCGTCGGAAGGAAGTGAAGCATTACGCAACGTCATTGATCCGGTGAGCTGCCACGTTAAGATTTATAAGAAGTACGTGTCGCTGTGCCAAAAACAGCTCCGTTCGAACATTCCTCCCTCCACAACACCGTGCGGCAATTCTATTTATAACCGTGTATGTCACGTGGTTGCGCGATAGAAAGTTTACCGACCAATAGAAAGCTTTGTTACAATGACAACCAAAAAGCGCTTGGAGCTTTGCATTTCTGATGTCTTCGTCTTCGGCTTCGTTTCTGTCTATATATGTTGCAGTGACACCAAGAGCTTTGAGGTATAACACCTACTTTTCTATAATACTCAACAGTGGCTCAACACTATTACCACGCTCGATGGTCGCAAGGCTGGTAAAGCATAATAACATAATGATTTACAATTTCCAGTGCGACTAAAAAGGAACACATCACACTCGGCTTTTGTCCGAATAATGTATTGCTTCGACATCCACTGCAAGCCAACACAGCTTCCACTGTGCGAACATTTGCACCGCCTGGCAACCATCATGGTGAAAACAAAGGCCAAAAACTCTCAGAAAACAGTACTTTGGGATGGTTGTTGACACTCCCTGAACCGTGTAACAAGATTACCCTGCTCATGCAACATATTTAAATTTGGTTGTTTAGGATTTCTTTAAAGTTAAGTTTGTGCTGTTTTTTCGATTTTAGCTATTTTCAACAGCTTTTCGACCGGCGTTCCACAGCAGCTCGCGCAGAGCCCATAGAAATACATGGTAGAGTGTGGCGTCTTTAAAGCGTCTTGTGACTTAGCTCCGCCCCGACAAAGTTGATAGCTTGGCCAAGCGCGTTGATGAAAAAAGCAATATGATTGGCTGTTGGTAAACTGATTCCAAACTGTGAGGGCATTGTCACATACACATATTCCTAATAAAATACTTCAAGGCGATAGTGGAGTGCTTCGCCGGAACATTCACCTTGAAAATTCAAGATGTCCAAAATCTGTTTCAGCAAACATCCACTAGGCCACAACTCATTGAAACTGGTTATACCGGAGTTATTTAAAGCAGTGGAGATAGATTGGAATTTTACCAACCAGTTTATGAGCTACGGTAACTACTAGTCTTTATGAAAGTGGTATTGATGAACAGCTCATTGTGAAACTTACAGGACATCTTCTGTTGAAGGTAAATACACAAGCAATATCATCTTCCCTCCCAATTGCCAGACTTTTATGCACCGCCAGGTACATTCGTATTTTAAAAATGAAATGGTCAAATGTCTGGGCAACGATTCTATTTTAATGAGGTTTTGATACTGGGCAACTTCTTATGACATGGATAGAATAAAAAAACAATTGTATTGTATTGTCGTTTAGTGGGGGCATTGTTCTTTTCAAATCTATGTAATAATTATAATCAGCCATGATGTAATATTCATGAATGTTTTTGTTTCCATGTTTATTCGGAGGTAGGTCGCGATATCATTCTTAGGCTTCGCCGCGAAATGATATCACGACCGTACCGACTGAGTGATAAATTCGATATCAGAGATTACACGAGACGAACGGGGGAGGTCGATATCCACGCCGTGCAAGATATCGATCTCCTTCAAAATATCGCCCCAATACGTGGTCATTCTCAAAAATATCACACAATTTTTCTATTGTTTAAATCAGTTTTAGTCACGCGAATTTCATAGGATGTTCGTAACGCTGTATGCTAGACACTCATTTTCAGTTATTTTTTAATCTGACCTTATATTTTATCTACGATTAAATAACTACATAGATACTACTCACAATCTCAGTCGTTCGACCTATGATTTGAAGCCTTGGACTATTGACCGGGACTTTTTGAAACTGATGTTATCTCAGCAGTTCGACCTTTTATTTGAGACCATTTAACTATTAAATGGAATATGTATGCTGAATTGAATGTTAATATGACCATCCCAGTGTGTCTGCAGTTTACAGTTATTGTTTACAGGCAGGCTAATAACTCTTATAAATTACAAACATGTAAACAAGCAAGACAAAACTCATTATCACGGTAACACTGCTTGCCATATATTGATTTAAAAAGTGACACTCACCTAATGCAAGTCCTAGAATAAGTAATGCTGCTCGAGACATATTGGATATTCCTATTGAGCGACAAATAAGCCGCTATAGTACGTGATGGACGCTGGCTTGCCGTGTATACTTCAACACTGCAGTCAAATATGTGTTTATCCCCTGGCGGTGTTATCAGCAATAGATATACCATCATCTGATGTCCATAGGTCACAACACGCGCCGTGAGACAACTGCGCATGTCTTAAAACAACAAACAACATTTATTTTATATTTCTTCACTGTGTGTATCACCGCATTATTGGTGTTATTAGATTGCAGTGGAATGGCCAATTATTGTAAAAACTGTACATCGCATTCCTCGTGGAATTTATTTGGATGGACTTTGTTGTTATGATTACATGCAGCCTCATTTCGTAATCCGGCCTCTAGAAATGCGACACAACTAAGTAAGCATGTTTGGTCACTCAAGGAAAAGGATATTGAGCATAGAATAACATGGGAAATTCTTGCTCACAGTAGCCCCTTCAATAGCTCCAGCAAACGATGCAGTTTATGTTTGAAATAAAAAAAAATGTCTTAATTTCAAGACCCCACCATTCCACACTGAACAAAAGAAATTAACTTGGATCATCATGCCAACACAGATCAAAGACACTATTATGCAACACTGTGTAATGTGCGTATGTGATGTAGAAACCATCCTGACTATTAAAGGTGAATGTTTCAGCAAAGCACTCCGCTACCACCTATATTTCAGTATGTGACAGTGCCCTCGCACTTTAGATTCAGTTTATTAACAGCCAATCAGATTGAATCGACGCGCTTAGCCAAGCTATCCAAACAAATATGGCTGCACACAGTGGAAGCTGTTTTGGCTTCGTTGTTAGTCACACTGGAAGTCGTAAATCATGTTATTATGCTTCTCCTGCCTTGCGATCGAGCGATGTATGGTGTTATCAACACTGTTAAGTATTATGGAAGCAGGTGCTATACCCCAGAGCTCAAGTCACTGCAATGTATATCGGCAGAAATTAAGCCGAAGATAAAGACGTAAAAAATGCTAAATCTAAGTGCTTTTTGGCAGCCGTTTGTGCAAAAACTTTCTATTTGTCGGTAAGCTTTCTATCGCGCAACCACTTGACATACACGCTTATGAATGGAGCTACCGAACGAGGCTGGGAAACGAGGAATGTTTAAACGGAACAACACCGTACATGAGGACGATAACAAAACAAGTCTTGATTGCATCATTTGCGAAACAGTTTGAAACGAAAACCTTAAACGAGCAATAAGACCATAATGAACTGTCAGCGGACGTTACTATTAAATGTACTCAGATTAGATTAACAATACATTTTTCTACACTTTTACGAGTTCACAACAACTCATTTAGCCCATTCAATGAATCTTTTATAACATTTGTAATACTAAAATTTCCATGTTTCCATTCTTCCTATACGACCTTCAAGTTGTACAACTTGGAATCCATTTTTTTCAAATATCTATTGTTCTTTTATGACGTTCCAATCAACTTATGAAACTTTTGGGACAACGGATAAAACTGTAAATCAAACATTTAAGCGACACATTTCAACAAGACTTTACAACATTGCAGTCAACTTCAACGACGAATACAAATATAATTTGGACTTTCTAAATCATTACTTATGTGTTATCACCCACACTATTCGACTTTTTAAATTTATTTGACCATGCGTGCACGTTTTACGTCTATTCAAGCAATTTTTCAATCGTTTTCGTTTTACTTATGTCCACTCAATTTTCTCTACTTTTCAACCAACTAATTCAAATTTTAAAATGAATTGTCGGACTTTTCAATCAATATAACCAATTCTTCGTCGTACATTTTGACTTTCCACCCACATTTCCTGATATTCTAGATAACTTCTGGTACGTCTTGCCCAACGTATTTGGCTGTTCACGTCATACCTTTTAACCACCTCCTACCCAACTTTTGGCTTTCCAGCTAAATGCTGTGACTTTCCAACAGCTTTCATCTAACTTTTCATTCAACTAACTAATCTAAAATTTTCGACGTTCTGTTTAACTATTGTAAATTTAAAACTAACAATTTCATTTTTAAACTTTTCCACCTACATGTTTTACTTGCCGTCCAACATATACGTAAATTTTGACGAATTTCACACATTATTCTTCGACTTTATAGTCCATTGTTACTACATTCATCTTTTCCCCAAACCTTTAAGAATTTCTAGGGTCTGTAAAGTATGTTTACTACTTTTCAAAGTTTATAATTACCCGGTAGTATAGTTAAGATTGTGTCAGCGGGGAATCTTACACGTGTAGCCAGTGCTCGTATCTAAATACCAACGCACAGTCATGATTTAATTTATCTAGTTAATGATATATTTTTACTTTTTTCTTAGACAATAAAGTTCACTATTACCATGGATTCTATGGCCAGGGGAGCAGTAGACATGATGGCGCTAAAGAAAGGCAAGCTATATAAAGTTCCTATGAACCGCGCCATCAGGTGGCCGTTAAAAGCGTTGATATCGTTTTCATCAAAGTTTCCATCAATGAATATTACCTTTGAATGTGAACGCACATAAAGTTTGAACTTGTTATTTCTCAATGACATAAATTAAATCATAACCTTGCATCTGACATCGACTTAACGCAAAAAAAACCTTCATGTCGATTTTAATTAGACGATTCACTCATCGCACTCCGACATAGTAAAACTTTAGGCCTGTTGTTTATTTGGCTTTTTAGAGTGCAGATTACAGCAAATTCTTGACGCTGGGGGCAAATTTGAAAAGAGTTGAAAAGGTGGGTTGCATCACATATACATTGGTCAATTTAACAATTTGTTGCACAACTTTTTCCCAATTATTAGTCATCGCATCCTCTGTCCAATTCAATGTCATGAACAAAATAGCAACTTTTTTTCTGTACAAAGCAAATACATATTTATTAATTATGTGTAGTTTGCATTGATTAATCCAGTGCGCACATCGATCTGTATATGTGTTCGATATATAAATAAATTACGTGCTTATCATTTACTACTACAAGACTGATTTACGAGTAGAAATGTAAACAAATTCAAGAAGACACAACGTTTATAATAAGATTCAATGAAATAAATTCAGTTGTTGTTTTTGTTGTTTACTGGTTGGCGTTGATCAATAGTGTCATTTGGGTCATAACATTTGCGATTGTAAATTATAAAGTAACATAAAAAAGTTCTTATCGAAGCTTATGTTTTTAATCATTATCATGTATGACGAATGTTAATTGTGGTGTTCACTCACCGTGAAATCTACGTTTCCCCGGCCTTATAATTTTTGCTTTAGTATTTTACTTAGTTATTGTCACTAAAATGTTATCTTAGGCTCTTTTGCCCTATCTTATATTTCACATAAATTTGTTAGCTGACGGTATAGCGCCACCTGTTCTAGTTCGAGTTGCGTTTATTACTTTGTTTTGTAGGCAGCAGATAACGAAGACAGACGCAATCTACTGCCTGAGAGCTGGTGGAATTGTCGACCTTCTAATACTTTTATGTCGAATCGTGTTTAATGAACGTAAAAACTTCTGAAATACGACTATACTGAGGTCGATGAGGTGCTCCGGAAGATCTACAAATGAAACATTTGATTGCGTTTTTGAGTGATAATTCATGTATTTGCGTTAGGACATGAAATGTTTATTTACCGATGATGCAATAACATGTGCTTTTAAACCCCGTTCACTTAGTACTTTACTGTGATGATTTCACATCATTTTTGCTCATGATATTTCACAGATTACGCATGCCTAGTGATTTCTAAGTGATTATTCGATACGTTAGTGATAGGTTTCTTGTAAATATTTTACTGCATTACGTCAGTTTTTCGCCACTAGATGGCGCTGTCAGTCTACCACTCATTGCATTGTCGATGTATAATGCCATAGAGTGTTAGTGTTAAGCTGAGACATGCTATTTATTGTTTCTTTTATTTATTTGCTATTTCATTCAATCGTTCATCTTATGTGTACTTGTACTTCATTTGCAAAGTTTGGTTGTAATGAGTTATACTAGAAGAAAATAAATTGTCATCAATCGTTACGGAAATTTGTTTCATTATTGTGAGGAGAATACATTGACGACATAG